CTAGCATTTGCAGAGTTTATCTGATGGATGAGCAGTGAAGTTACTGTTTGCACTTCCTGTTTATCCTGCTAAACATAGAAAGAGATGCTCCAAGTATCAACTTGGTTCTGCATTCTCTGGCAAGGGCCAGCTTCCCAAAACATTCCTGCACCCTTGGGGAGGCAGGGGAACAGAGAAGTGGGTCCTTAACACACTCTGTGTTTGCAACCTAAATATGCAGACTCTCCTCGCAGTCAATCCATTTTGGTAACTGCTGTTCTGCTTACTTAAATGGGCACAGCGATATAGAGAAGGGCAATGACAGCTGTTATTCGTCCAAGGGAAAAGCCCATGGCTTTTCACAGTCCCTGAGCAGATGCAGCAGAAGCCTAGCAAATACAAAAGAAAGGCAGCGACGGCCAAAGGCTAGGTCCTTTTGCCCCCAAGTGCCACGTAGTCATCGAAGAACGTTCTGTTCATCCCAGGAGGATAAAAGCCAAGTCATGCCTGGCCTGTCGTCTGAGTCCCAAATGCAGCCTCTCTACAAGTGGGGTTCTCAACCTGGTATAAGCCAAGAGCCCTTTAGCAATCTGATGATGCTTGGGAACCCCTTTCTCAAAATGACATTCTTAAATGCATAAAATAACACACAGGGCATTATAAAGGAAATTATTTTGAAGACAATATCACAATAGTAAAATAAATGTGTGGCACATTACTTTATGTGCATTCTTATTCATGCATTAAATAACAATATGTACCATTGTTTTTAAATAATGATTACTGTAAATGATATTTAGGATATCAGAATGCAACTACCACAGAATGTGAAAATATCTGTTATTTCTATTGGTAACAAAGTGACAGGCCCAGCTAATCCCACTGGGCTGTGCTGTGTGCATTCCCAGTGAGGACAGGGAGGTAGCTGAGGATGCCACGCTCCTGTCCCCACCTGGGGCACTCGTCATGCCTGGAGCCCTCTCAGAGAAGCACAGGAAGTTTCCTATTACCGGGGGAAGAGAGAATTTTTAAAGTTTTGAACAAACATGTTTATTAAAACGTCAAAGTATTCTACACATGGAGGATGGGAGAATTTTGGAAATAAAGGCTGGAGACAAACCGAGAAAACCTCATCCAGGGCTATGGCTCAGATCCAGGGGTCTGCTCAGCAGCCTGTCCACCCTGGTAAGGCAGACGGTCCTTTCTATTTATGACAGCTTTATCAAGATATCATTCATATAAACTTCCCCCATTTGAAGTGTATAATTCAACAATTATTGGCATCTTTACACAAATCTCTAGCTCTAGAACATTTCTATCACCCCAAAAAGAAACCCCATTCCTCCCAATTCTCCCTACCTCTCAGCCCCTGGCAACCATGAATTTACAGATTTGCCTATTCTGGACTTTGCACATTACAGAGGATTCTTGCAACGTGTGGTAGTTTGTTCTCTAAAATTGACACAGTCACTGAATTACTGAGCAGCGAACCATTGCTTCCGGGTCTGTGAGCCTCTGGCCACAACATTTTCATCAATACACAATCCTTGAATAATGAGCATCTACTTCTCTCACTAAGCATAAAGATTCTGAGGTTCATCTATCTGTAGCATGTGTCAGGGCATCATTTTATGGCTCAATAGTATTCCACTGAATGACTAATACACACACGTGAACACGCAAGCATGCACACACTTTGTTCATCAGCTGATGGATGCATGGGTTGTTCCCGCCTTGTGGATATTGTGAATGATGTTGCCATAAACATTTGTGTACTTTTTGTGTGGCTGCATTTTTCTATGTGCTAGTATTTTGGTGAAGCGTTTCACATCTACATTCATAAAGGAATGCTGTCCTGTAGTTTATCACTATGTCTTTGTATGGTTGAAGGAAGAGATTATTTTAAGCAACAAATTAATTTTATTTTTTTGCGATGGAGTCCTGCTCTGTCACCAAGCTGGAGGGCAGTGGTGCAATCTTGGCTCACTGCAACCTCTGCCTCCCAGGTTCAGGCGATTCTCCTGCCTCAACCTCACAAGTAGCTGGAACTACAGGTGCATGCCACTACACCTGGCTAATTTTTATATTTTTTAGTAGAGATGGGGTTTCACTATGCTGGCCTGGCTTGTCTGGAGTTCCTGACATCAGGTGATCCACCCGCCTTGGCCTCCCGAAGTGCTGGGATTACAGGCATGAGCCATCACGCCCTGCTTAGCAACAGTTAACTTTTAAAAACATAGTTGTGGGTTTATTAAAGCATGTATTAGAATACTGACTTTTTTCCTTTGTGACAGTACATTCCCTCTTAAAATATATTTAGATAAAATATGTCTGTGTTCAGAAAGTTATTAAGTAAATGACAGAGTGGGTATGGTTGCAGCAGAATCATAAAAATAGCATGATGCTGACTGATCCCTCAACATGCGCGCAGCAGTAAAAAGGCTGTGGGATTGTGTTGCCTCTCAGGGGACCTTAGCTCTGTCCCAAACACACAGATTACTAAACATCCGCACAGATCACTATGCAGGGAGGGCCCCTGACTGTGAACCGGATACAACTGCCCCGATAGGCACCTGGAATGTCGTCATCCTTACAGTCAAATCCACTGAGGACAGTGAGAGGCAGCTCAGATTTTCCCAAAGACAAGACTGAGAGGCCAGTGATGTATACGCAGGACCAGCCAAGGGCTTGTCATCAGCAGGGTTCTCTATGAAGCCCTGACAACAACCCCAGAGGGCAGGTGCTGCCACTTGTAGTACAGATGAGGACATTAGAGCTCTACGGGGCAAGGCGTGTGTTTGTGTCACAGGGCCAGGAAGAAGTTGGGGTCTGAGTTCAGGTCTCCCTAGCTCCACACTGTAATATGACAGAGAAAGGCAGGGGCTGCTGGCGACACACTCATGCTAAAACCACGAGAGACTCAGAAACCCTAAGCCAGCTAGTTAAACTGAGCTACTACTCTGAGGGCAGAGGAAGAAGGAAAAATAAATGATGAAGACAGAACACAGGGCTCCAGCCAACAAGCTGGAAGAGGCAGAGCTGTCTGAGCCGCTGCTGGAGATTAGTGCATTCCCACTGGCAACACACAAGCTTGCTTTCCGGTTTTGGAAACACCCCAGCTTTGGTGCCTCCCCCATGGAGGATGCCAAGACTCCTGAAGCCAGCCTCCAAAGGGCAGAGTGCCTTCTGCCCATCTTCGCCCCAGCTCCATAGTCAGTGGGACAAAAGAGCAATGAGCAACAAAGCCTGTGTGCATATCTGCAGTTTATACCACATTTTCTTCACACCATGTGAGCACATGCCATGACCTGGGATGGCAGGGGCACAGCCAGGAACACAACCCACCCTACGCTCCTGGTCTGGTGGAGACGGACGGCAAACCAGCCCTGGGAACAATGGACAGAGCACAGAGGAAGCCAAGCAAGAGGACAGAGGATGGGGGGAGGGGAACACGAGCGCCTCAGATCAAGCAGCTGAGACCAGGCCTTCCTGAGAAGGCAGCCTGTGAACAGATACAGAAGCCCAGGCACTGTGAAGTGGTGGAGAGCTCCAGGTCAGGGGGCAGGGGGGCACAGGCCTCCATTCCAGGACCAGCCAAGCAGCAGGTGGCCACTGCAGAGGGCAGCATGCAGAGGGCTGAGATGCGGCATGCTCCAGGCTACGTAGAGCCATGCAGAGAAAGCGAGAGCGCTTGTCCCGCAGCAACCCTGAGGGACTGATGAGGAAGCTGAAGCTCAGTCCATCCCCCAGGCCACTGTGAGGAAGTGACAGCTGTGTTGACTTCTCAGTGCCATCAGCAGGATACCCAGGCCCAGCGAGAACTGCAGATGCAGAGTGTTCTGATCTTGTGCCAGAGAATCTGTCTCAAGTGAGGTCAACGAGTCTCCTGCCGTTCCCTTCATCACCACAGATGGGAATAACAGCCATAGCTAATATTTACAGAGCAGGGCCGAGGAGCTGGTGGCATGCTGCTCAGCATCACCCTCATAGTGACTGGATGGGGGCTAATATGAGTACCCTCGTTCTGCAAAACAGGACACTGGGGTGAAGGAGGCCTCGTCTGAGAACTCGCCCAGCTCGCCCCTCCTGCCCAGCACCCTGCTGCTGCTTCCTCTAGTCTCAGCTCAGCCTTTCCTCCGGGAAACCTCTCCTAGCTGTCCCACAGATGCTGGCAGCAGATCCACAAGGGCAGATGGGGCACACTGCAATGTCACTTTGCAAGTATCGCCACTCGCTGCCCAGCTCCATGAGGTGGTCAGTGTTCACTACGTCCACTGCAGGGACGCCCAAAGGAGGAGAGACAGTTATAAAAACGCAATTTTCCCAGTATCAAGCCCCACCTGCAGGTGTTTCTTTCCTTCAGCAAATTGTTTTGAAACAACAAGGTTCTCCGAAGTTTGGAAAGGAAAAAAAAATCTAAACGTAGTTCAGAGATGTGAGCAGTATGAGGTCCCACAATTAGTCTGCTGCAGGGCACCTCTTCCCTTCCAGCCATTACCCTATGTTAGTAATTCATTTTAACATAAAATGATATTGTGATTTATAGCAAAACGGGGGCTCAGAGCTAAAAGCCAAAATTATTATCTAAACTAACATTTTTCCTACTCCTAAAGAGATGATGGAAAGCATGCACCAGTAATCCCAAGTTTCATTCTGAGGCCACTGACTCAAGCCTCCTTATCACTGAGTTATCTCGCTTCTAGTTAAACAACTGCAAGTATCAATATTATTCTTTCTTCCGTATTTAAAAGTCAGAATTCAACAACATTTAAGGTAGAAAATGCAGTTTAAGTATTTTAAGTCTAATAAATCAATATTGATCAAACAAATTTTTATATCTTTAATCTCCTACTACAGGTTAGAAAATAGAATCACACGGTTCTGTAATGACAAAAAAAATTTTAAAATTCAGTGAGCTCAGTTCTCACAGAGCTCACAGAGACTAAATAAGAAATATTTTAAACTATATTTTAAAAATGATTGCTCAACAAGCCCAGCCAGCCATTGAACCACTTCAGTACCTCGTTTCTGGATGAAGACCCTGAGCAGGGGATTTGCACTAGAAACCGCCTTGCAGAAGTTGTCATCGTTGTTGATGGGCAGCAGGTCTCCGTGCACATCTGCATAGCCAATAGTTACATCACTGTTGGAGATATGGTGGGTGTGCACAACCAGCTTGTAGAAATCTTCAAACTTCCCAGGCTTATGACGGTCCAGAGAGAACCTTCGGAATTCCGCCCCAAACTACAATGCAAGAGACAGGGTTGAGGGGGATGGGCATTAATAAACACCAGAGAAAAAGCCAGAAATGAGGTGTGGTTAGTGTACTTAACAAAAAAGTATTTATAGTCCATATTTTCTTTAATCATCCACTGGTAGACACTTAAGTTGATCTCATCTTTGATATTATGAATAGCTAGAATGAAGACACAAGTGCAGGTATCCTTTTAATACGATTTCTCTTCCTTTGGGTAGAAACACAATAGTAAGGCTGCTGGATCCACTGGTAACTCTATTTTCAGTTCTCTGAGACATTTCATACTGTTTGCTATAGAGACTGATGAATTTAAAATGTTGTATTAAAAGAACAAAAATATAAAAGGACAAGTATTTATTTATTCTCCATGAGGCCCAGGGGAGATAGTGGCAAACAGCTCTGTTCTCTCAGAGCTCATTAGTCACAGTCTCACAGTGACTAAATAAGAAATTATAACACAGGAAGAGGGACCCTAAAAAATTAAAAGCAGTAGTGACTCAGGCAGCAGCTCTCTCATCCACACTGACCCAATCAACCCAGGACAGCCCTCTCATCCACACTGACCGAGGGGACAGCCCCTGACTGAGGGGACAGCCTTCTCATCCACACCGAATGAGGGGAAGGCCCTCTCATGTACACTAACTGAGGGACAGCCCAGTCATCCACACAGATGAATATCCTGAGGACAGGATAGGACAGGCTGCGTAGCTCATGTTGTAGGAAAAAGCAACATCAAAATTAATGTAAATTTTTTGGGTGGCATGAAAAAAGAATCCTTCCTTAGCAAGGTCCCTTGCCTCATCTGAGGCTGCTGAGAGGGCATCTGCACAGCTCTGCTCAGGGCCTAACTCAGAGGCAGGAGAGGACAAGGCCAGATGAAAACTTGGGATACTTACAGGTCTTAATTTTAAATTAGGAAGTGTCTTTATTTGATTTGCATTTTAGTAAGACCAAATGGTTACATTTTGAAAGGATCAGAAGTAGAGGTAAAATTGTAAGAATAAAGAAACCTGGTAAAAATCATACAAGTCCAAGGGAGACAGGATGATGGTCTGGTCTCTTTCCTAAAGGCGGCATGTACTCTCCCCTCCAGGGCTGTCACTAGGTGGTCCAGGTTCAGGAAACGTCTAGGGACTAACCTCTTTCCCAGCAAACTCTGGCCCTGGCTGTGAGCTGCCCGCAGAGCTCCAGGACACCCTCCAAGAGAGGACCCCAAGGGAACACGAGGTTAGGGTCATGCCCAAGGGTCCTAGCTCCTGTCATTCCTCACTTGGCAATTAGGGACCTGTATTCATCAGGTGGCACACATTCTGTGTTTTCCAAAATATATAAAAATTAAAGTGTCTAATGTTTATGGAAAACTAGTCATTATATCATCTAGACATTGTATCAATGAGTCAGGTAAAAGCATCTAAAACTATACATGTTTGTGTCAGCACCACCTGGAGCCCCTACAGTTCTGGGTTTGGCTGTGCTCAGCCCAAGAATCTGCATTTTTAACAAGGTCCCAGAAAGAGCTGATGCTATTGGTCTGGGGACCACACAAAGAGAACCGCTGGTTTTATAGAATCAGCACTAGACTTTAACCTCTACAGATTCTTTGTGAAAAGAAATTGCCTGAGAACAAGTCTCCTTTCCTACCTCCCTTTCAAAATGCACTTCCCCCAGGTTACCAAAAGCAAAACAAACCTCTTACCCATCATGCACTGCACTCAGCAGTTAAAAAAAAAATCTCACAACAATTAAAAATACTGGCTTGGGGCAGGTGAGGTGGCTAACACCTATAATTCCAGCACTTTGGGAGGCTGAGGCAGGCGGATTACTTGAGGTCAGGAGTTCGTGACCAGCCTGGCCAACATGCTGAAACCCCATCTCTACTAAAAATATAAAAAAATGAGCCAGGTGTGGTGGTGCACACCTGTAATCCCAGCATCTCAGGAGTCTGAGGCAGGAGGATCGCTTGAACCTGGGAGGTGGAGGTTGCAGTGAGCTAAGATCGCACCACTGTACTCCAGCCTGGACAACAGTGAGACTCAGTCTCAAAAAAAAAAAAAAAAAAAAAAAAACCACTGGTTCGGGAAAAGCCAGTTTAAATGACTAATCAAAACCCCTGTAACCTGCTGTCTACATACTCAGTAAGGAAACAGTGTGACCCCAGAACCTGATATCTGAACAATTACATGCTATGAACACAGCTGCACCCTAGAAAAGGCAGAGGGAAGGGCTCTCCTCTATCTCCTGGTATTGTCAGAGGTGCAGAGCGGAGCAAAGCGCTGAAATCCCTCCCCGCTATTCAAAGGGAAGCATTACATTTCTGCTGAGTGTTCACCCAAGGATGCTGCTGCCATGGCATGTGGGCATTGCATGTTCACCCAAGGATGCTGCTGCCATGGCATGTGGGCATTGCATGTTCACCCAAGGATGCTGCTGCCATGGCATGTGGGCAATGCATATTCTTTCCCACGTTGGGGCTCCAAAGCTTTTAAGACACATGCATAAAGCCTACAGCATAAGTTTTATGTGGTATCTTTCAGATCCGGTTTCCAATAAAATCACAAAGCATTTATTTCACTAATATCAATCCTTGTCTTTCCCATCTCATAGAGCTCATATATCCTGATATGGTTTGCATCTGTGTCCCCACCAGATCTCATGTTGAATTGCAACCCCTAGTGTTGGAGGAGGGGCCTGATGGGAGGTGACTGGATCGAGGGTGGAGTTCCTCTGAATGGTTAAGCACCATCTCCTGGTGCTGTTCTGGTGAGAGTGAGTGAGTGATCACGAGATCTTGTTGTTTTATGTGTCTAGCACCTTCCCCGTCTTTTAGTCCTGCTCCTGCCATGTAAGATGCCTACTCCCATTTTGCCTTCTGCCATGAGTAAAAGCTCCCCGAGGACTTCCCAGGAGCAGACTGCCACTATGCTTCCTGTGCAGCCTGTGGACCTATGAGCCAATTAAGTCTCTTTTCTATATAAATTACCCAGTCTCAGGTATGTCTTTACAGCAATGTGAGAAAGGACTAACACAGAAAATTGGCAGCAAGGAGTCGGGCATTGCGATAAAGACAGCTGAATATGTGGAAGTAACTCTGGAATTGGGTAACAGGCAGAGGCTGGAAGAGTGTGGAGGGCTCAGAAGACAGCAAGATGAGGGGAAAAGCCCTAGAGACTGTTGAATGATTGTGACCAAAATGCTGATACTGATACGAATAATGAAGTCCAGGCTGAGGAGGTATCAGGTGAAAATGAAGAACTTACTGGGAGCTAGAGTAAAGGTCACTGTGACGGTTAATACTGAGTGTCAACTTGATTGGATTGAGGGATACAAAGTATTACTCCTGCGTATGTCTGTGTGGGCACTGCCTAAAGAGATTAACATTTCAGTCAGCAGGCTGGGGAAGGCAGATCCACCCTTCATCTGGCGAACACCATCTAATCAGCTTCCAGCGAATATAAAGCAGGCGGAACAACGTGAAAAAGAGAGACAGGCCTAGCCTCCCAGCCTACATCTTTCTCCTGTGCTGGACGCTTCCTGCCCTAGAACATCACACTCCAAGTTTTGGGACTTGGACTGGTTATCCTTGCTCCTCAGCTTGCAGACAGCCTATTTATTGGACCCTGTGATCATATAAGTTAATACTTAATAAACTCACACACACACACACACACACACACACACAGCCCCTATTAGTTCTGTCCTTCTAAGACAACCCTGACTAATACTAACATTGTCACTTTTGCTATGTTTTAACAAAGATCCTGCTGCATTTTGTGGCCCTGCTCTAAGGGATCTGTGGAACTCTGAAGTTGAGAGTGATGATTTGGGGTATCTGGTGGAAGAAATTTCTAAACAGGAAAGCATTCAAGACGTGGCCTGGCTGTTTCTAACAACCTATGCAAAGAAATAACCTAAAACTGGAACTTATGTTTAAAAGAGAAGCAGAGCATAAAAGTTCAGAACATTTGCAGCCTGGCCACATGGTAGAAGAGAAAAGCCCATTTTCACGGAAGGAATTCAAGAAGGCTGCAGAAATTTCCTTAACTAAAAGGAAGGCAAATGCTGATAGCCAAGACCACAGGGAGAAGGCCTCCAAGGCATTTCAGAGACTGCCATGGCAGCCTCTCCCAATACGAGGGCTGAATGTATTTCTTGGGCTGACCCAGGGACCCACTGTGCTGCACAGCCTTAGGACATTGCTCCCTGCATCTTGACATGTGGCTCAAAGTGGCCCAGGTACAGAGGGGCACTGCTTCAGAGGGCGCAGGCCATAAACCTGGTCAGCTTCCACATGGTGTTAAGCCTGTAGGTGTACAAAATGCAAGATTTGAGGCTTGGAAGCTTCTGTCTACATTTCAGAAAATGTATGGAAATATGTGGATGCCCAGGCAGGCATCTGCTGCAGGGACAGAGCCCTCATGGAGAACCTCTACTAAGGCAGTGCAAAGAGGAAATGTGGGGTAGAGCCTCCCCCGCCCCTCCCCGACAAAGTCCCCACTGGGGCACTGCACAGTGGAACTGTGAGAAGAGGACCACATCCTCCAGATCCCAGAATGGTAGATCCACTGACAGTTCATACCATATGCCTGAAAAAGCCACAGACACTGAACACCAGCCCTTGAGACCAACTGCAGGGGTTGAACCCTACAAAGCCACAGGGGCAGAGCTTCCCAAGGCCTTGGGAGCCCACCCCTCAAACCAGTGTGCCCTGGATGTGGGGCAAGAAATCAAAGGAGATGATTTTGGAGCTTTAAGATTTAAGGACTGCCCTACTGGGTTTTAAACTTGCATGCTGGAGATGATGTGGAGAAATAGGAACGCTCTTACACTGTTGGTGGGAGTGCAGATGAGTGCAACCATTGTGGAAGACAGTGTGGTGATTCCTCAAGATCTAGAATCAGAAATGCCATTTGACCCAGCAATCCCATTACTGGGTATATACCCAAAGGATTATAAATCGTTCTATTATAAAGACACATGCACATGTATG